CAGACGTGCGCGCAGCCAAAAACAAAAAAAGCACCGGAATAAGAAAAACGGGCAAAATTTGGCGTCGAATTTTAGGCGTACGCGCACCTGGTGCATGTACGGCACGGCGCGAGCCCGCACCTCATCCGGGATTTCAAAACTGTGTGCAATAGCACACACGGCACCGAGGTGACTAGACGGATGACGTCTACTATATAAAGCTGAATGTCTGTTTGTATGTCTGTATGTCTGTCTGTGTGTGTACGTATGTTCCGATTAGAATTTTTTACTTCTAAACCGACGCGGACAAATTTGACACACACACATGGGGGCGTGGCAGGGATCGTAGGCTACTTTTCATCATCGATCGATACCGCTTTTGTCGGTTTTTATCGATTTTTTCGCAAAGTTTGGGCTACAGGGCTGAGAGTTGGCACAGGGGTAATCGAGCATGCTGATTACGAGTACAATATTAGTTTGGCGCTATTCGGGTATCCGGTCCCCAAAGTTTTTTGTCGTAGAGCTTGCACAGACTTCGTGTATAAGTGTTATTTTACATGCTGATTACAGATATCACACTTTCTCCACAGAACGTCTCCCCGTGTGTTATAATAGGTGTACGGTAGGAAGTCAAAATCATGAATTCGGCTGGAGTTCGGTCCAGAGAACTTATTCGACATGCTGATTACGAATTTCATACTCTCTCTGCACAATGGAACCTTTCCACAGAGTTAATGCTTATACGGTATGGGGTCGAAAGCATAGATTTGCTTTGAACTTCGTCTAGGGTGGTCATTTAGCGCGCTAACATGAATATCATGCTGATTTCGCAGGATAGTTCATTTTCTTGGGTTACGGTGGGTGTAGATGGGTCGAAGTTCCAGATTTGCTCAAAACCTTACCTGTAACGGTTCACAAGCACACTGCTTATGAATATGATGCTTGCCCGCTGTCATAACGCATTACTGAAGTTATGGTGAGTTGCAGGGTTTGAATGGACATTTTTTCGCTTTCTGGCCAATATTTAGATCACAGATATTTAAGCAATGGGGAAACGATCGTTTTGCATGGCGGTCTCCAGCGCCATCCTGATAACCTGTCCCATCGCGTAACGCACGCGGCAACTCTCATTCCCCCTGTTTTTGCTTAGGCAAAAGCTGCCGAAGGGTGTATCGCGCACGGCAGTGGTCCTATAAGGAAAGCATTACGGTCGTGGGAAACTTTTATACCACACGAATTGGCTTTATCGTGGGGATTAAGCACGACATTTTTGAAACAGCACTTTAGGTAATTCCTTGCCAAGGTTTCAGGCAGGTTCATGATCTTTGCCCGCTGCCACGCGAAATGACTACGATATTTGTCATCAGCGGTTCAAATAACCCCCATATACCGAGTTTGAGCGATCAGTCACAAAAACATTTTGGGGCCCGGATATCTGAATTGCGCCATCAGTTTTAGAATATTATCGATTTTTCTTAATTTTTAGAATATTATTATTTGCTTTTAACGATTTTATTGATTTTTTCCAAAGTTTGAGCTACGGGGCTGGGGGTTAGTGAGGAAGTTAGGTGGGCATTCTGATTACTAACACAGCGGGAATAAGGAATTGCAAGTATTATAGAAGTGGGCACAGGGAAAGGTTGTACAGGGATAGGAATGGAACCTTATCACTTATCACACCTTATCACTCAGAACTTTATCATTTTTGATAGAGCCGGGCGGAGCCGGGTAAGTCAGCTAGTCTTCGTCATCACGGACGCGTAGCAGCTGCTATGAAAAGCATGAGCGGGGCGAACTTTCGTATTGGCAATGAAGAAAAGGATGAATTTACTCGACTGCATATCTCCGGTTCTTATTTTTGTTTAATTCCTCAGTTTCTTCACTTCACTGTGTTCTGCACTTAAGCGATTATCAATTCAAAGCAACACATTCTGAGAATAAGATAATTGAGAACACTGTTGCGCATACTGTTCAACATGCTCACATGTTTTCTCACGAATGAATCATTTGAAACGCTAGAGCAGAGTATGAGTTTGTTGAACAGATATCATTCCACAATTGCTGCTACCCTTGCTCTGCATTTCTGATCTGCGGCACGCATTAAAATGTCGGCAACTTGCAACAAGTGTCGGTTTCAAGGCTAACACGCGCTGCATATTGTTGCATGTTGTCAACATGTTAGCCATGCGTACCGCAGAACAGAGACGCAGAGCAGAGGTAGCGGCAATTGCGGGGCGGACGAGGACAGAGGACTATATGCAGAAGTGCGATAGTGGGAGCCAATTCTCCCCTACCTTCACTTTTGAGCTGGTACAGGGTGACCACCTTCACTTTTGGAATAAAAAATTTTTCGCTGGACGACAAGGAAGGAAAGTAAACAAAACAAAAGCAAAAAAGATTATTGAAAGCATATATTTATGTATACGGCGGCGGCATATATATTTAAAATAAACGTACTCAGTAAATGGTGTATTTGGAAGTAAAATTTAGCGAAACTGTACGGATTTTATTAAGTAAATTTTGTCATAACATACTGCGAAGGAAGTAGATCGATCTAGGCAGTAACGGCCGAGAACCAGAATTTTGAATATTTAAATAGTGAAAAATCATGCGAAATTTCCATTGTTATAAAGCTGTTGTTTGAAGATGTCAGCAGTTGCGACTTCATAGGCTTCAAAGAGTAAATGGTACTCTTTCAGATAATGGAAGAATCGAGTAAATTTGAGAGATAGTCGTTGAAAACGAGAATTCTAAAAATTTACGCCATTTTTGTGTTTTTTGACAGTTGACAGTTAAACTCATATAAATATTGAATGTGAAAGTACGTGATGTTGCGACTTCATAGGTTTTGTAGAGTAAGGTTTGCCTTATCTGAATATATCTTAAAAGTGCCGATTTACTGAAACAGTGCCGAGATCCAGAGTCTTGAAAAAGCAGGTAAAAAAGCGCTTTTTGAAATTCAACAGCTCATAACTTCTTCAGAACTGGATGAATCGTGTTGCGACTTCATAGGTTAGATTCTTCTCATCAAGAGCTTTCAGATGATATATAATGGGGGTTTAGAGCCTCCTACGAATTATACCCGTGGGGGGAGCCTTTCCATACCAAAGTCTCCCCCTCCAATACATTAAAGTGGGCTAGGGGAGACTTTGGTATGAAAAGGCTCCCCCCACGGGCATAATTCGTAGGAGGCTCTAAACCCCCATATATTAAATATAGTCTGAAAGCTCTTGATGAGAAGATTCTAATCAATGAAGTCGCAACATGATTCATGCAGTTCTGAAGAAGTATGAGCTGTTGAATTTCAAAAAACGCTTTTTTACCTGCTTTTTCAAGACTCTGGATCTCGGCACTGTTTCAGTAAATCGGCACTTTTAAGATATATTCAGATAAGGCAAACCTTACTCTACAAAACCTATGAAGTCGCAACATCATACACTTTCACTTTCAAGATTTAGAGTTTAACTGTCAACTGTCAAAAAACACGCAAAAATGGCGTAAATTTTTAGAATTCTCGTTTTCAACGACTATCTCTCAAATTTACTCGATTCTTCCATTATCTGAAAGAGTACCATTTACTCTTTGAAACCTATGAAGTCGCAACTGCTGACATCTTCAAACAACAGATTTATAACAGTGGAAATTTCGCATGATTTTTCACTATTTAAATATTCAAAATTCTGGTTCTCGGCCGTTACTGCCTAGATCGATCTACTTCCTTCGCAGTATGTTACGAAAAAATTTACTTAATAAAATCCGTACAGTCCAAAAAACTTTTACTTCCAAATACACCATTTACTAATCACGTCTATTTTGAATTTTTATAAATAAAATTTATAAATACTAGGCTGGAAACTAAGTTTTGCAACTTTTGGTTTCATAACTTCACTCTCTTTGGATATGGCGCACTCAAACTTTGGCATTATGTAGAAGGCAATGTGAGCTATAAGTGAGCACAAAATGTCTAAATTTTGAACACGAAATAGAAGAATTTCAGGCGTTTTTCGAAAACAAGTGAAATTTGAGAATTTTTGGAGTTTCAAGCTAAAATGAAGCCTCTGGCAGCCTAGACCATGCGCAGGAATCCGGATTCGTCCACACATTGCTGGAGGTTGACTTCTTTGGTCTTTTAAGAAAGAAAATTTAGGGGCATGTCGAGATTTGGCGTCCTCATAAAGTCGAACGAGTCGATGTAGGCAAAAGCTGCTGGGGACGACCGTCAATGACTAAAGAGTCGAAGCTCAATTTCCGCGAGACTTTACATAGTAAGGTCATTTGACCTGCCAAACGCGAATATCACATTCATTTGTTGAATTAACGCCTTTTCCCTTGTTTAGGGTGAGACCCCATATCGTACACCTACAGTAATCCTACAAAATAGCCCCTTTCATGCAACCTCACTATCGTTTTCGTAATCAGCATGTCGGATAACACCCCTATGCCAAGTTTCAGCCAAATCCGTCAAACTTTGAATTTTTCCCCTTCATAGCATGCACCTACCGTAACCCTCACTGCGACGTCAGAATTTGGTAGGACAGCAGCTGCTCTTGTAGTTACGTAATAGCGAACGCAGTGGCAAAATTTGAGTGCGCCATATTGAGTGAGAGGGAAGTTATGAGACCAGTTGCAAAACTTAGTTTCCAACCTAATATTTTTAATATTCATCGTATCTGTGGCCCTAAAGAGAGCCGTTGGGTCACAGTTCGACCTAGAAGGATAGCTTTGTTCGTCCGTTTTACTCCCCCCCCCCCCCCCCCCCGTCGACGTTTTTGGAAGGTGAGTGTTCGACACTACCACCTTAACTTTTGGCCGGCCAGTGGTAGCTGGGACCACCTTCACTTTCGGTGGGCCCGGCTCCCCCCATCGCACCTCTGACTATATGTTCCCAAAGGTGAGGTCTCACGCAAACATTTGCAATAATCACACATTTCTTGCATGTATGTGAGGTGCGTATTTGCTGCAGGTGTCCGGGTGAAATCTCGGTGACATATATTTCCCTACCCATCAGACAATTTTTACAGGCAATTACCGAAGCATTCGTCTTGTCAAAGACATGGTGAAGGAACGTCAAGATCAAATTAGCTCAGAATATCTGAGCGCAGAACGTTCACATCAATATGAAGGTTGGAAATAAAAGATTCAGCGGGATCAACAGCATATGCCAGACTGAGTTGTAAGAATGAAGGTTCTCTTCACTATTTTCGCAGCATTTCAATCTTACACATAAAGCTGAATGTTGGTTTGTCTGTCTGTATGCATGCATCTACGCCCAACAGAAACTTCTTATTTTCAAATCGATCCGGACCAAAATTGACACACATAGACTACGGGGCGGGGCGGTGTCATAGGCTTCTCATCACTGATCGATAGATTTCATCGAATTTTTGCAAAGTTCCCTACTAGTTTCCTAGAGGCTGGGATTTGGCACAGAAGGGTAAGTGAGCATGTGATTACGAAAATATTATTGGCAGGGCGGGCGGAGCTTGGTTTTTCGGCTAATCTCACTATATATAAAACAGAAAATCTGTGTGTCTGTGCCCCTTTTTTATAGTCATAAAGGATGAGCGGTGAAGCTCATTTCGATCTGCTGGTCATCAAGATATGGTAACGACGGTAGAAACGAACCCATGACGAGTGGAATCAAAAGGGTGAATTTCGCTACATGAGAGATTGAGTACGATAAACTGCCTCCGTACCGGAGTGGAACCCGGGATGCCAACTCGCTTTATATACAAGCCAGTACGTCACGTCTGCTTCGCAGAGGCTCGCACTGATTCTACTACCCGCATGCTTTCTTCGTACTCGCAAAATTAGGCCTTTGAGACTTATCGTGCAATGGCGATCATCACGAACGCCAAAAGCTTTTGAAGATCGGTGGCTTTGTGAGAAGGAAAAGTCCAAAAGATTGAATGCGAGTTCGAATCTACCGATGTTATTATGGTTTGATATTCGCTATAAGGAAAATGCCAGTTTTGAATTACATGTCTACGCAGAAATACTTGCAGATCCTTGGATAGAACATTGTCAAATCTACCATATATGCAAATATTTCTTTTTGGCGCCAATTTTTGGTAGAAATGTACCTTTTGCTTACTTTTGGGCTGAAGTCAATAGGGTTCGGATTTACGTTGAACAAATCCACACTTTGCGAAAAACCCTATTAACGAACCACTTTCGCGAGCCAAAAGTCGTGTGGATCCGTTTGAGAGTTTCCAATGGTTCCAGGCAGTAGATCGGCTCATGCTTTTGCACAGTTTACCTACACGCAGATAAGGTTCTATGACCAAAATTCTAGCTCAAAAACTTAGCTGGAACTCGTTCTGTGAAATTGACGACAGATATTCAGAGAGACAAACAGAGTAAACAACTCTTAGCCCGTTATTATATAGGCATAATAAATGTCTTATGTGTGTGTACACAAAGAACAGAAAACTCCATTTCTTCCGGACCAAACTTTCCCACACTTATTGTCAAGTGGGTGTACCAAGCCAACGCCTTCAATATCTCGTGATGGATTCCTCACCACCAATGATTACGTCCTTCTTCCTAGTCTTCGCTTCCCGCTGGGCAGTGTAGTTTGTGCTCTGCAGTGTCGAGAAGAGCGTAGAGTTGAGATGAGATGATGAGATAAGATCAGATGAGCGATGGGACCCTCATCATTCGTGATGAGAAAGCTCCATCACGTTGAAGGTGTTGACTTTGCCATCCATCAGTGTATCTCCATCTTGTCGATTTGCATGAAAATCGTCAATTCGAATGGGCGAATTCAACGCAAAAATTGGGATGCAACTAGAAGAGGAATAGAGGATCGACAAGTTTGGTTGTGGGCCGGTACGAAAATGGCAGCAGTCTCGTTGGGGTTCTCTCGATTTTTCTCGGGATTTCCACCTTCATGGAGAAAGACCATTGACGGTAGACATAGGAGTCGCCCAACGGAACGGCTCATGCGGAGATTGAGCACATTCTTACCAACCGAAGGTGGAGCTTGCTCTGTCTCTCACAAGGGAGGTTCACTTAGTCGAAGTGGCGATTCGGAAGGAGATCTATACCAGTGGACAGAGCTTAAAAAGCTGATCTCAGATATACCTTCTATATCTGCGATGCGTCATTCTGGAAAAAACTATGAGCTTTTCTAAGGCCAAATTTTCGTGCATTGTGAGTCGCAAAATCATGATAATCGCTACACAAAAGTGTGCAAGCTTGAGCAAAAGACCTAGTAAGCATTGTATATCTGATTCGAGTTCATCCAAACGCTTTCGATATTTCTCGACCATGTTTTTCATCTACAGGTCGTCATTTCATTCCCAGATCACACTTCCATTATGTATACAAAAGAGCCCATAACCTCCATCCAGTGGCCGTATTCATCAACGAACCCTGAGGGTTAAGCTCACCCTCCAGGGTTAGTTTAACCCTCAGGGTTCATTGGCCGTATTCATCAACCATAGGCTAGGGTTTACCACGGAACGCGATCTACCCGTATCGATCAACGAACCTGTGGCCGTATTCATCAACCCTGAGGGTTAAACTAACCCTGGAGGGCTAAGGCGTCAGTTACGCGTGCGCTGTGCAAACTCACATCACAGAATGCCTAAGTACGGGCTAAATTCACTTTATACTTCTATTCTTTCACTGTTATAGTAGTATAGTCAACGAATAAGCTTCTAACACTAGTTTTTATAATGCGTCTCTAGCATACTTGTGCAGCATCCAATTTTACAGCTTGAGTTTATTTTCATGTGTGCAATTGTGCAGTGTAAGTTCTACTTTTGCGCAGTTCCTTTTATAACAGGGCTTGTGCTACTCTTTTAGGGGTCAGTGCGTGTTATTATAGAGGGGTTCATCTGTTTTGGCACTTGTCAGGGTGGAATGCCATTTTTCCTCGTCGCATTCATTTGTCACTAAAGCTAGAATTCTTTTTCTCGCGAAGTCGGTGTTTCATGTACTTCGAATATGAACATAAAACAAGTCGAAACTAAATACTATAACAACAACCAATACTAAATACTACAATACTCGTTGATCGTTTTCCATAAACTATTAGATGCAAGTAAATGTTTGTATGAAGTGTTAGGGTAGACTTAACCTTGATCTGAGCTAGGGTTAAATTAACCCTGATAAATCACGTAAGTTTAACCCTCCAGGGTTAGTTTAACCCTCACGGTTCGTTGATGAATACGGGTTAGTGGCTTTCGAGGTAAAATTAACCCTCAAGGTTAGATTTAACCCTCAGGGTTAAGCCTACCCTGTGTTTCATGAATACGGGTTAAACGCTTTTCAGGGTTAAACTAAGCCTCCAGGGTTAGTTTAACCCTCGGGGTTCGTTGATGAATACGGCCACAGAAGAATGTGTCGCAGATACTGAAGATATATTTGAGAACATCGTTCTACGTTCTATCCATTTGTAGTTTCCAAAAAGTTTTCGACGCGACGCGTTTTTTTTTGGATGGAGGTTATGGGGCTTTTTTGTACACATAATGGAAGTGTGATCTGGGAATGAAATGACGACCTGTGGATAAAAACATGGTCGGGAAACACTCTAAAGCGTTCGGATGAACTCGACTTAGATCTACAATGCTTATTAGGTGGTTTGCTTAAGCTTGCTCACTTTTGTGTAGCGATTATCATGATTTTGCGACTCAAAATGCACGAAAATTTGACTTTAGAAAAGCTCATAACTTTTTTCAGAACGACGCATCGCAGATATAGAAAGTATATCTGAAATCAGCTTCTTAAGCTCTATACACAGGTATAGATCTCTTTCTGAATCGCCACTTCGACTAAGTGAACTTCCCTTGTCAGTAACCAGTTTCACCCTCCTGTTGTGGCTCCGATCACGCCTTCCTTCGAGCGAAGGTACGATTCAATCGAAAGTTGACAAAGAAGGTCTGCCAGTGCCGTAAGAAAGATAGTCGTTTACATGGTACAGGCTGGAAGAGCATATCAACTTGTGACTGGTCCTCCCATCGAGGAGGACTCATTATACGACTATGCTCCTGAGATTTTTCGGAGAGTGCGCCTCAGTAACTTAAAAGGAACTTGGAATGCACCGAAACCACCAAGAAATTACCTTGTAGCGGTATCTGAATGCAACCCATCTCGAGCGACTGATAGCCAACCCAAGTGCAGAACAGCTTTGCAGGAGGATCTCAGGAAATGCAGGCAAGCCAAGATACTGGAAGCAGCCGAAGAAAGACGAAGTCTCAAGAGGTGGCAAAGGGACCACTCACTGTGAATATCACGTACCACTGGCTGCACTATTGAATGAAGACGGGACTCTGATATCTTCCCGACACAAGATGGAATCTATCGCGAAGAACTTCCACACCAACTCCTTCCGCTCATCAACACCCGTGCCGATGCCCGTTGTTCCCACTGGAGAGATACCACCAGGATTCTAACTGCTAAAGTGCGCACTGCGATTCAGATCATGAAGAGTTTACGGCTTTAGGACAGATCATTTTTCAGTCGAACTTCGAGCAGGAGGCCAATGCCTACATAAGATTTCGCGTCGCATCTAACATCTCACCTTCAGAAGAAAGGAATAATCCCTACCAGCGGAGAAGGGGAAGGCTTAATATCCTATACTTTGTCTAAGGGAAGGAACGAAACGGAAAAATCAGAATTCATTCTTATATTCAAGAAACGTTCTTCACTTTGAGAAGGGCGACTGGGAGTATCTTCGGGGCTATCGTCCAATATGCCTGCTTCTAAAAATTTTCACGAAAACTATCCTCGGCCGCATATCTAGAACACTGGATGAAGCGCAGCCCCAAGGACAAGCTGGATTTCGCGAAGGATCCAGCCTCGTGAACCCACATTCAAACAGTTGCGAGGGTCATAGAATTCTGTCGAGAGTACCGACCGCCTCTCGTCCTGAATCATCGACTACGAGAAAGCCTTTGACAGCGTCGAAACCAAAGTCATCTGTCAGCTGTCGATCAAGGAGTGGACCCAGCTTACTTACATTAGCTGACTGTTACAAAGGTTGTCCAACGACGATGCAGCTATCTCATCGCCCTTCCATCTGAAAAGAGAGTCCGACAAGGCAACACAATCTCGCCGAAGTTGTTCCCCGCGGCCATGCAGTGCGTGATGAAGTCACTGGACAGGGACGAAAGAGGCATACGAGTTTAGGGAGATTCCTTTCGAATCTTTTTTTCATGGACAACATCGTTCTTTTTCCGAGCAGTATCGCTAGAGCAGAGACGATGTTGAAGGAACAAAACGAA